CTTAGTAGACTTAGTAGAGTCAATAAACTTAGTAGACTCAGTAGACTAAGTAGACTAAGTAGACTAAGTAGACTTAGTAGACTTAGTAGACTTCTAGTTTTAACATTTGTCCCTCTTATTTTTTTATTCAGTTATTTTTTTCGTCTCTTCTTTTTATTTCAAACCATGAATCTGTTTTGTTTGTAAATAGTTCTACAACAAACTCCCAAGTTTATCAATAATGCAGTATAGTGATAGAGTGTCTACTGCGCTATTTTATACTATTAGAGTTAATTATAAAGACCAGAATATATTTGGTCCTCTGAATATTGTGTGCTGTTATTTCAAGAGGAAATAAATTACTAGATGGAAAAAGGAAGAAGTTTAAATTGAAGGCAAAAGTAATGACTCAAAAAAATGAAAAACATTATAACATGCATTGTAGATTCGGTCAAAATTAGGTATAAGTTTAAGACTAATCTTTCCATTAACGATGGATAATTTTTTTTAAAAAGTTAACCATCAGGTTGGTTTATTAAAAGGGGTTAACACGTCATCCAAGTTTTAGCTTTTTTTGGACCAACATATTTTACAGTAATAGTAAATGACATAGATTTATTGATAAATAATTCAATGTTAGTTCTAAATGGGTCTGTTTAATGTTTCTGTTTGAAGATTTAATAGATGAAGTTTTTCTTAATTTAGTTTTACAAGGGAATATAATTTGTCAACTACCTTCTTAAACTTTTCATATTTTATACAATTTGTTGGAGAAATATGTTTAGTAGATACTAACTGTTCAGTCGGAAGTTAAAACTAATTTTACTTAAAGGGACTGTCAAATGAGTCCTAAAACATTCTTTTCAAAACTGCAATCTCAGTTCAACCAACATTCATTGCCGGTCACTCCCTTTAAAGTTTTCCTCATTCTTTCTTCAGCATAAATCCACACGTATTCTATATATAGAAATACCAATTGAAAATAATAAATTTTCCGCTAGAAAAACAAGGATATTAAATTCATTATTATTCAGACAAAGGTTAAGATGGTACAGCTGTGAATTGGACATGCTCTGAGCTTCTTCCCAGTTCCTTTAACATTAATAATTGATTTTAGAATGATTGTGCATGATTTATTTGGCGAAGTTTCAAGGGTTTATTATTGTAACTCAACCAATTTTATTGTCAGCGTTAAACATTTTTACTTTTCCCTGCAATAGGAATTTCTTTGTTTAATTAAAAAAAAAGTTGTGATTGCAGTCATATTAAATTTGGACCGGTCGTTATAGTATTTTCTTCTTATATTCCTGTTATAATTTTAAATAGACCAATGAACTTTGCAGTACGTGTAAACAGACCCATTTCATTCATTGATTTTGAAGCAAATACATTGTAAAATGTTTTTTTTTTACAACAACATCAAATGCACATAATTTTGCTTCAATGTCTTCTTCCAATTTCACAATTTTTTTATGTGTCCCACAGTATTCTATAGAAAGGAGGGGGGGGGGAGGTATTGACTTTTATGAAATTTTGAATCGTTTGGTTTTTTTTCTATCTGATCCGGAAAAAAATAACATTTTAAGCAAAAAACTCTGTTGATCTATAAGATTTGGACCATTCTTTGTTTCGCAAAACAATGATATTAAAACTTTTAAACTTAATTTAAACTTCTTTGATTTAATCGAAAGAGAAGAAGGGTGTATAGAGGGGGGAGGGGTCAAGAGGGATAATTTCCCATTGTATACGTTCTTTTAATGGCGTAAAGGGTAATTTCCCATTTTATACGTTCTTTTAATGGCGTAAAGGGTAATTTCCTATTTTATACGTTCTTTTAAAGGCGTAAAGGGTAATTTCCTATTTTATACGTTCATTTAATGGCGTAAAGGGTAATTTCCTA